ATCTCTTGTGACAAATTTATGAAGAGTCTAGGCCAGTTGATTTGCAGAATGCGCCTTAGTTTTATTTACTGATTGTTCCTTTTGATTCATGTGATTCATGTTCCAGGTGATTCATGCTAAACATGTTTCCCAAGATTTTGGTGGGGGCTCTCTGTCTCAGGGTATCACATCATAAAAATATACAGTGTCGTTTTGCCTCACCATTGGGGCTGAGTTAATCACTTGGTAAGGCTTTGTCCACTGGGTTTCTCCTTTGTAAAGATGCTTCTCCCTTTCATAATTAGTAAGTCTTCTTGTCAGCAGGTCCTTCACCCCTTGAGTCCACAGCTTGTTCCAGTGGAGCTTTAACCTGAAGGAATAAAGTTCAGGGTGGACAGGGGCTTTGTCTAGTTGTCACAAACAGGGGAAGGAAAAGGTGGGAAAGCATTCTGAAACCTCTCCCTCACCGTTACCTCTGGGTGTAGCAGGCCTTTTACCCAGCGGCCGAATGGAGCGCGCTGAGGCAGTTTTATCCGTTTTCTTCCCATTCGTTCACTAATTGCACCTGTACTTATGTAGACCACCCAGGCCCTTCGCTGACACTGAAGGCACCGTGGTGAAGCACGGGGAGAGCCGTGAACAAGACAGACACGGTCACTACCTTTGTGGAGTTTGCAGTCTGGCAAAGTAGATAGTCCAAAAAGAAAAACCGTTATTTACAAGTTGTGTTCAGTACAGTGAAGAAAATCATCAGCGTGCTAAGACTGAGGAGTATTTAAGAAGAGGGACAGAAGAAGAATGAGGGACCAGCCGTGAGTGTGGGTAGAGCACTGGAAGAGAGAAGAGAGTCCCAGGAGAGGGGACATGCTTCCTGAGGCCAGCAGGGACTTGGAGTGTTTAGGAACCAGGAGGCAGCCAAGGTCCCTTAGAGCATGGTGGGATTTGGGGTTCAAGGTAAAGGGGGAGAAGTAAACAGGGGCCAGATCATGGGGGCCTTGTAGGCCCTAATAAAGAGTATTGAGTATTTAGGCTTCTTGTAACAAATCCTTCTTTCAGAGATAGACTTGACACCAAATTTCATTTTGTGTAGCTTTCATGTAAATCTACAGTGTGGATCTGAGGATATGAACTGGGATCTGATTAACCTCAGGGTATCAATGTGTTTAACTATAGAGAGCAAACTGATGGTTACCAAAGGGGAGTAGGGCGGGGGGGGGGGGGGGGGAGGAGGGGAGGGGAAATTAAGGAGGGTAAGGGCCCGTTCGGTTACGCGCCAGGTAATTAAAAAAAATAAAAAAAAAAAAAAGAGTGTGATATCTCCCTGCAATGGTGTGACTCTCCACAGAATAGAATTGGAATTCATAGCCCTAGAGAACTCAACATGCCCTCATTGAGGCATTGAGCCTTCAGTGAGCTATGCTCCTTGTTGGGGTGCGCACAGCCTTTCTAACTAAAGGGCTATGTCTGTGTGAGGATTGAGTTTAGATCTGAGCTGACGCTTTGTTGTGGGAGTCTTTTTTTTTTTTTTTTTTAATTTGACACAGAGAGAGGCAGAGACAGTGAGAGAGGGAACACAAGCAGGGGGAATGGGAGAGGGAGAAGCAGGCTTCCCGCTGAGCAGGGAGCCCGATGCGGTGGTGGGAGGGTGGGGCTGGATACTAGGACCATGGGATCATGACCTGAGCTGAAGGCAGATGCTTAACAACTGAGCCCACCCAGGCACCCCAAATTCCATTGTGGGAGTCTTGTCACACAACCAAAAGGCTGGGAGGTTTAAGGGACAGGGAGGGATATACACTCAGAGACTGCCAGAGAAGGTTTGGACATAGTGCTGCTTGAGGGTGTGAGAACGTGTATAAATGTCCATACGAGAGGTGGAGTCCTTAAGTCGTATGTGCTGGAAGGAGCTGTGTGGCCCTGAGAAAGATTAGAGAGGTCGAAGCCGCAGCAGGCACTGTGGTGGCTGGCCTGTGAGCTTGCCTGGCCACGGCCTCCTGCTGTGGAGTGCACTGTGTGGGGAGGAGTCTTACCTCCCAGCCCATACAGAGTGTGCTTAAGCTGTTTTCCTGGATACCCTGAGGTTAATCAGATCCCAAGATGTGCTCTGCTTGTCACGAACTGACTGGAATTCTATCTTCCTTTCTTGTTCCACTGACAGCTGTAAAATACATACTGAGAGAAACCCTACCGACTGATTTTACTGCCTTGGATCCAGAACAATAAAGATCTACCTTCCAGCTCAAACATAATTAAGCTTGGCTCATGTTCAGGCTTTGGCAATGTTATTGTTTGCCATTTACACGCTATGTTCTTGGTTCCCTTCCTTTGGGGTTTATTTTATCCCCTCTGCCTGTTTCTGATAAGCAGTCTGACTGGTGGAACTTTGTGTGTAAATGTTGAAAAGGAACATTTTGTGGTGCTTGCACATTCCTTCCAGAGAAACTGAGTAGGTGCAGTGGAGTCCTGTAGCTGTCAGGCTGGGAAGAAAGGGTGCAGCCTTGTCTGGCCTTGGGCTGTAGAGTGTGCGGGTTCATCAGCGTGCCCCTGCCACCAGTGAGGGGCTGGTGACAGATACCCAGCTCCCAGATGTAGCAGCCCGCCAGCCAGGGTGTGGGGTCTGCTCTCCTCTCCCTGTACTGCGAGTTTTGTACCCTGCAGGACTGTGAGGAGAAAGGTAGCAGAAAACGCTCAGCCTGCCTCCAGAGAGCTGTCCGAATGGGAGAGGGGCGTGCCTCTACCTACAGCACAAGATGTAGACCCACAAAGAATGCTTGCTTTGTAGGGTGGTATGCTCAGGACTCCCTGCCTGGATTTGTTTCAGATTCAACAGAAAGCAGATAAATGGGTGAAGAAATGCACAGGGTCAAGGGAACGCGCTCTGTCGCGTGACTCTGCAGAGAAAGAGGGTTTGGAAGTAGGCATGACTTGTCTGACAGGTTTAGGGTTGTTAGTGGCTTAGGACTCCTGAGAATTCCTTTGGCCTTTTCACACTGCTATCAATGATTCCTAATTAGTTCTGATGATATGTGCGTGTCTGGAGCAGGCCATAAAAATGGCTGTGTGAATCAGCCGTTGACATGCAAGGTCAGGCTGCAGCCTCCAGCGTCGGCGCCTAGGACTGGCATTTCAGAAAGAGAGAGGAGACCTTGTTCCTGATGGCACTGTTTGTGCCAGGGTGGGACTAGGACTCTGGTAGGTAGAAGGCTTCAGTTAAGCAACAAGATAGTGTTAATTTTGATGTGTAGACGTCTTTTATTGTCATTGTTACAGTAAGTCCTTACTTCGCCTTCCTTTGAGAGGATGTGTACCTTGGTGTTTTCGGTTCAGTCTTTGTGCTTGGATTTCTGTTGTTCAGATGTACTACCGTAGCCTTGTTCTGTGTGGTTTTAAGAGTCCGTGTAGGCGGGACTGGATATCTGATAGAACTTCAAGAAATTATTCCTGAAATGATAAAAGAGGAAGACAGGTTTTTCTAGACAGGGCTTTACAAACACTAGGATAAATGAGGAACTTCTGAAAACTTCTGCCACAGAGTCAGGCCAGACCAGAAATAGCACCAGGTTTGCATCATTTATGTGTTTGAGGACTTGGTGAGAGCTCACCTCTGTTGATAAATGTAGTTGAAGCAGGTTGAGGAGATGGGGGCCAAAGGACTAAAAGGTTTACTTCCCTGCTCAGAGGAGTGTACAGTCCAGTATAGACGAAGACGCAGGATCTGAGAAGGTGTCGGATCCAACCTGACAAAACCCGTTAGGTGCGGTCCCGCGCCAGCTTGCTGATTGGAGTCTGTGTGCGTTGGTCTGTCAGCCAGTGAGGCCAGGTGGGGCTCATGCATAAAGGTCTCTCTTGGGGCCAGTCCAGTGGCTTCTGATATTTGTAAGATGGCATTGGTTGTCAAGACGAGCTGCTCGTTACAGATCACAATTTTTTACTTTGGCATTTCTTTCCTGTCCTGGTTTTCTGGCCCTGAAATGGCCCCGGTGTGTTGGTGCTGATGCGTATGAGAGTCTTGCCTGTGTCCCAGCTGCTGCAGACTTTGGCCTTACGAAACCCAAGTATTTTCCATGCTGTACTTTCAGCAACTGGCTCTCCCTAACCTTTACAGAGTTCCTTTCTCTATGGCAAATAAAATATTCAAGATTCTTCTGAGCGGGCTGCTTTCCATGTGCTCTTGCCCTGAGGTTTGAGTATTAGGTTACATTCACCCCCGATGTGGGGAGAAGATGATAAATTATTTGAGAAAACAAGTTGCTAATTAAATTTTTTAAGCACAGAGGAAGGGCTGAGTAGAAGAGAAGAGGAAAAAGAGGAAGCGGGGAGCAGACGGGATCAACACGTCATCCAGCCAGGACCTGAGGGTCAGGAGGCTTAGTCAGCGTCTGTTCCACTTGCAGGGAAGGCAGAGGAGTCTGCTCCTGAGGACGGTGCCACTGCCAGGGATGTAATTTCCCCCACTTTGGGAAAAGCATGGTCTCTTCTGACATGGCCCACAAGTTGCTGTTCCACGCTGTGCCGGCCCTCTCTCTGTAATAACCAAATAGATCTTGGTAGATTTGGCTTTTGTGGTCTAGAGCTGAACTGTTAGGAGAGTAGCGCCTGGGTGGTTGAGTCAGTTAAGTGACTTCATTCAGCTCGGGGCATGATCCCAGGGTCCTGGGATTGAGCTGTGTGTTTGGCTCCCTGCTCAGCGGGGATTCTGTTCATCCCTTTCCCTCTGCCCCCTACCCCACTCCTGCTCGTGGGTGCCTGCGCTCATATAAAGAAAACCTGAAAGAATAAAGTGCTCAGAGAGCTTAAGCTAGCCCCTGCTCTTTGGTAATGAGCACAAGGTGTTACTTCCTCAGCTGCTACTGTGGAGGGCTCCATGGTACACCTCCATCCCACCGTAGGCAGCTAGGCCAGGGGAGGGCCAGTCTTAGAGTCTTGGCTGTCACAGAATCCCGGATCGAGTATGTCCATTTGTTGGTCTGGTTTCCTGTCACCTCTTTCCCTTTCTCTCTTGACCTCCTTTTGAACTGCAGACTCTGGCCTGGTTGTCCCAAGTGTTTCCTATGAACTGCACAAAAAGCTCTTATCTGTGGCTGAGAAGCACGGGTTGACTCTGGAGCGGAGACTGGAGATGACAGGAGTGTGCGCCAGCCAGATGGCCCTGACCCTGCTCGGAGGACCCAACAGGTAAACGCCTCTGGACTGGCGGGGGCTGTGGGTAGGGAGGTGCTGCCCTGCCGAGGCGCCACCGCGCCCCCACCAGAGGAGTCTGTCAGTGTGAAGTCCCTTCCCGGGGTGCTCTGAGGGTATTGTTTGCCCCTCTTACCCTCTCCCAGAAGTCCTCATTCTTCTCTAGGCAAGCTGCCCTTTCACCCTTTCTTTCCTGATAAAAGCTGGCTTTGACCTTCCTGCTGGGTCCCAGAGGCCTGCCTTCTAAGAGCCTTCAGAGACTCAGCCTTTGGCACTTGTCCTTCACTCTGAGGGGCTGGGATACAGATCAGCCAAAGTTCCATACCCGAGCACTGCTAGAACCACCCTGACAACTGGGTTGGGAGAGCTGGAGGTCGGTGCGTTCCTACCTTCCTTCTGGGTCCCTGTGTCAAGAGCAGTGCTTAATTTTATTTGTGGTCACTTGTGTCATGTGCCAGTCCATGTGCTAGAACTAGGCACACAAAGAAGAGTAGAATACTGCGCCTGCCCTCTGGAAGGCTAGTGAAGTGTCCAGAAGGTACACCGTGGCGGGAGAGGAAGCAGGATCGCCCAGGAGGCCGCAGTAGCATCCACATGGTGTCCTGCGGGGGCTGCTGAGGGGGCATTAACAGGCCAGCGGGCAGGGCGGGGAGTCCAGGTCTGGGGAGTAGCCTGCGCTGAGGGCGGACAGAACCGAGAGCGTGGTCGTGGCTGGGATCTGTGATGTCCTTCTGTGGGGCTGGGAAGTCGGGCTTTGCAGCAGCTGCGCAGTAGGGAGCTGAGCTGACAATGGGATTTCAGAAACAGCCTTGTGGGGGCAGAATGTGAATGTCCTCACCCCATCACAGCGCCCTCTAGCCGGCTTCCTGGGGCCAGCTGTCCATGGGCCTGGCTTTTCTTGCCGCCTCTGACCTCTCCAAAGGGCCATCTCCTGCAGCCCCTTTGAGAAGGGTTGCCACAGCTAGTAATCTTCCTCATGTGTGTCCGGTCCCGTGCAGTTCTCACTGTGCTCACAGCCGTGTTCAGTTTGAGCCTCATGGCTTCACCTTGAAGGTGAATAGTAGCCTGATGTTTGAGGATGAGCCCGCTGAGGCTCTGAGAGCGGAAAGGCTTGCCCAACTTGGTGCCGCCGCTATGTGGTGGAGCCAGGTCTCCCGTCCAGACAGGAGTGTTTCCAGTGTCTGGTCCCTGCCCCTTGCTGTCGGCTGTGTGATGCCAGGGTCTGTATCCTCCGACCGCGGTGCCTCTGTGAGAGCAGGAGTCTTCAGGAGCAGCCGTGGGTGAGGCAGCCGCCACGACGCAGCAGCGTCTGTGTGAGGGGAGAGGCGCTGATCGTATTTCCTTCAGATGCACACGTAGTGGGGGAAATGAGTGGTTTGGTATATATGCAGAGTACATTGCTAAAGGCCCCCAAATTTACTTGGAGCATAGGGGCTTCCTCTCTGACTGGAACAGCATCTGTCATCTGCCTCCTTTTGGGAGACTAGTAAGTGACTGTCACTGCTAGGGACGGACCTAAGCCCGTTTCTTGCTGTCCATCTCCCCCTGCCTTCTGCCCCTGAGGCAGGCCGTAGCGCCTGTGAGTTGGGAACAGCTCCAGAGTCAATCCGGACCTCCTGTGGCTCAGCTTTGAAGGACAGGAGCTGGAAGTGACTTCATCAGGACGTGGGTAGCCAAGGAAGCTGCCGGCGTAGGAGCCCAGGAAGGCCTGCCTGCTGCCTCCTTGACCTGCGATGTAGTCCTGTTCTGAGTGCTGTCCGTGCGTGGACACACAGCATCCTGTGGAAAAGGTCTTGTTCATATCTGGTGTTGCCCTTATCCCACTTATTGGCGGCTCAGTGAGGAGCACTTGGCCTGGCACCTGATTGAGGACGATTTAGAACGGTCCTGTTTGCTGCTGCTGCTGAGTTTCTTAGGAGCTGAGCCAGAGTAACCCTGGAAGAGGTGAGGCTTGAGCTGGATTCCAGAGAAAGGGTGGGTCAGAGTTTGCCAAGTGAAGGGCTTTCTGAGCAGGGGACCTCATCTGAGGAGAAGCAAGGAAGAGCCTTTCGGAAAGAGTTCTGTGTTTCTGGTCGGAGAGCAGTGTTCTGGCAGCAGTGTTGTATGGCTCAAGATGTGGGTGAGCTGCCTTGTGAGAGGACCCAGTAGATGAAGTGACACCGGGGTGTGGGACCATGGGAATGCCACCCTGTAGCCCTGGGGTGCATGGCTTTTCACCCCCTCTGGGACCTGGGACTGTCAAGAACTCAGCACTCATCTGGTTTATGGTGCGAGGGATTGGCAGGTCTGCAGCTGATGATGCTTATTTGCCTTCTGTTCCAGGTTGAATCCCAAAAATGTTCACCAGAGGCCCACAGTGGCCCTGCTGTGTGGCCCCCATGTGAAAGGGGCTCAGGGGATCAGCTGTGGAAGGCACCTGGCTAACCATGATGTCCAGGTCATTCTCTTCCTGCCCAACTTTGTCAAGATGCTGGAGTCCATCACCAACGAGCTATCTCTCTTCAGCAAGACCCAAGGCCAACAAGTATCTAACCTCAAAGGTGAGCACTTGCCTAGGGCAGGCCTGCGCCCTCCTCCTGTAGTTCTATGGTCCGGTGCTGCCGCCCAGTGGCGACAGGTGGAACATCACAGATGTAAGGCGTGCTCTGCCTGCTGGAGTCTTTGTACACAGAGGAAATATTTTGGGCGTTGACTTGCTTACTTCCCACCCCTTCACTGTTCTCCCTCTCTGATTACTCAGACGGAGAGCTGGGGGCCCACTTGTTCACTTTACAAACGTTTACAGAACAGGCACCACTGCTGACACTGAGAATGTGGCAGTAGATTGTTTTTTTGATCCGTACTTCCATGGAGCTTACACTCTATTTAGGACAGAGAAGAGACAGAAAAGTAACCTTTCTGTTAGGCCAGATGGTGATGTTATGAGACAAAGGAGGGAAGGGCGCTAGAGAGGTTCAGAGGGGGTTGTGTTGGGGAGGTGCAGGTGGTACAGTGCCTGCGGGTCGCTGTAAGGGTTTGACTTTCACACCCGCTGTGATGGAGAGTCATTGGGGGAAGAAGCAAAGGAAGGCAGAGGCCAGCTCAGATTCCTGATGATCCCCTGGCTGCTGCTTGGGAGTAAACTAGAGATTTACAAAGAGAAGTGTTAAGAGGCTGTTGTGCTGGGGCGCCTGGGTGGCTCAGTGGGTTAAGCCTCTGCCTTCGGCTCAGGTCATGATCTCAGGGTCCTGGGATGGAGTCCCGCATCGGGCTCTCTACTTGGTGGGGAGCCTGCTTCACCCTTTCTCTCTGCCTGCCTCTCTGCCTACTTGTCATCTCTCTCTCTTCAAATAAATGAAATCTTAAAAAAAAAAAAAAAAAGGCTGTTGCGTGACATTGGAAGGGGATGTTGGTGGCTGAGACAGTGATAGTGGTAGAGGAGGTAAAGAGGGGGTTAGGTTTTTTATTTTTTAAGATTTTATTTACTTATTTGACAGAGGTCACAGGCAGGCAGAGAGGCAGGCAGAGAGATTGACGTGGGGAAGCAGGCTCCCCACCGAGCAGAGAGCCCCATGCAGGGCTCTATCCCAGGACTCTGAGATCATGACCTGAGCTGATGGCAGAGGCTTAACCCACTAGGCCACCCAGGTGCCCCAGGGAGTTAGTTTCTAAGTAGTTTTGGAGCTAGAGGCTGCAGAGTGGATATAAGGGATGTGACAGGGAAAGGTTAAGAACAACTCCAAGGTGTTTGGCCTGAGTGACCAGAAGGATGAAGGTGCCATCCTGAGCTGGGAAGACTTGCGGGAGGATGTTTGGGGAGGAAGGTGCCTGTTGAATATGCACGTAGAAATGTTGACTGATGCAGATGAGTCTGCAGGTAGGGGAAGGGGTCTGGTCTGGGTGCTGAGGGTGTAGGTGGGAATGAGCCCTAATAAACCTGGATAAGTTATCTTCTAGGAAGAGGTAGGGAAGTTGTTAAGTCTAAGTTCTTTGTTTAAAAGTCAGGGAGTTGAGAGAGCAGCTCAGGAGACGGGGTGGGAGAAGGAGAAGCAGGGGAGCCTGGCACCTGGAAGGCAAGTGAAGAGGGAGGTATGGTGTGGTCAGCTCTGCCAGCAAGCCGCTCTGAGTTAGGCTCAGATGAAGGCTGAGAATCGACCACTGGATCTGTGTGGGTGCCCTGTGATGATCTCAACCAGAGCAGTTTCAGTGGGGATGTATGGAGGGGGGCAGTACGAAGTGATTAGAGTGGGTTTTAGTGAGAGCAGGGGAGAAGAGAGAAGAAATATGAAGGAAGGGTCTTGCCAGGGGTCAGATGGCAAGTTGGGGCCAGATCCTGGGCCAGAACCTCAGGCTCCTGTGTATGTGTAGAAGCTAAGACCCCATTCTTACTCTTGAGAGCCTACTGGCCCCCAGCAACACCCCCCAACCCCCTCGTCATGGTGGTCAGATCTAAGTACGGAAGCCCTGAGTCCCTAATTGAGAACTAGCAGTACTGGAGCTGGGAGGCAGGCCTGTTCTGGGTTCCCCTGCTTGAGATCTGTAACATGATGCTCTGTTTTAGGCAGTTCTTCCTCTGGCTACCTAAAAGCCTTCCAATTTCAACTCCAGGAGCCAAGTCTGAGGATGCTGACCTTGAATTTGGTCTGATTTCTCCTATTCTCAAGTTACTTTCTTAGGCTGGTCAAGGCTTACGTAGCTGTTGAGACATCTGTTCTTCTGCTGTCCCAGAGGCTTGGTTTGAACAGAAAAACTTTTTAAAGTGTCTGAAGAAGTGATCAGTTCCCTCTCCATCCTTCAGATTGGGCTGTAAGGAGAGCCTGTTTTCATGAGATGGATGTGGGGCAGGATGCAGCAAGGCCAGGCTGGCTCAGGTCGGGTGAGGAGGCTAGCCCAAGGTTCTGGCCAGCTTGCTGCTGTTGGGCTAGTCGCACGTGGCCGTCAGCCCGTTTCTGCTGGGGTGTGGGCAGAGCTCCCTGTGAGGGCTAACTCAGTGGCAGTCAGCTCCCCCTTCTCAGATCTCCTAGTGTACCCCGTGTGTTAGTTGGATGTGTGTCTGCTGTCCCTGGAGACAGCCTGTACCGTCCGCAGCACAGGGCTTCGGCCTCGGGGACTCCATGAGGACATTGGTCCATCGGGCTGACATGCCCTTTTTCTCTGGTGCCCAGCCCAGCCTGGCCTTGGAAGTACTGGGACTGGTGCTGCCTTGAGAAAGCCAGCCTGTGGTGAGGCCACAGAGTGGTGTCAGAACAAGACCCCCCTTGGGGCCATCTGGGTCCTAGTCCCCACCTGGGCTGCTCTCTCCTTATAGTGATTCCCATGTGGCGATCTTCCCACCTGCAGATCTGCCCTCTAGTCCTGTGGACCTGGTGATCAACTGCCTGGACTGCCCCGAGAATGCCTTCCTGCGGGACCAGCCCTGGTACAAGGCAGCCGTGGCCTGGGCCAACCGGAACCGGGCGCCGGTGCTCAGCATTGACCCTCCCGTGCATGAAGGCGAACAGGGTATCGACGCCAAGTGGTCGCTGGCTCTGGGCCTGCCTCTGCCCCTGGGGGAGCGCGCGGGCCGCGTCTACTTGTGCGACATCGGCCTCCCCCAGCAGGTATTCCAGGAGGTAGGAATCAGCTACCACTCACCCTTTGGCTGCAAGTTTGTCATTCCATTACACTCTGCCTAGAGGGGCTCTGGGCGAGTTGGACTCTGCAGTCCCCTGCTGCTCTGGACACACTGAACTTGACAACGAACGCCTTAAGGATGTGAAGCTTCATGGACCTTCAGTTTTTTCACTTTTGGATTTGTTACTTCTGTGAGAGAACAGATCATATTTAAAAATGACCTGTCACCTGCCAGTAGCCAGGGAAGGCTTTCCCACTGGGTGTCCTGGGTGGGCGGCAGGCCAAGTGGCTCTAGGCATCTCTACACTTGGCCCCTGTGTGGCTGGGTGGGGCTTTGTTTACAGACTTAGGCAGCTCACAGACTGTGTTTCAGGTTTACAGTCACTGGGGCCTGGGCAAGCACCTTGCGGGGTGGGGCGGGTCCTGTTTGGGGGCCTGTACTTGCTTTGGCTCCGTGTCCTCTGCTCTCCACACCCCCAGCCCTTCTGATCATGTCGAACTGGCTGTGCTGCAGCCGCCCGCCAGAGGGCAGACTCGCACTCTGTTCCTTGCCAGAGCTCTGAGGAGGCCTTCCCAGAGCCCCACCACAAGTTGGTTTGGGGGCTTTTGACCCTTTCTCCTGAGCTGATGCAAACTGTATGCTGGGATTTTTCTCAAGGGTCCTTCTTCCTTTCCACTCCATCATTCTGAGAGGCAGGGAAGGGGGCGGCATCAGGATGGTTTTACTGTATGGGGATTTTATATTGTTTTTCTGTTTTCAGCATAGGTAGTATAAGGTCACGTTACTGTAGAACCACAGTGCCCATCTTGCCAGCAGTGCCCCCTGCCCCATACCCTCTCCAGCTGGGGCCGGAGCCCTCAGGGTGCAGCTTTAATGTTCAGTATTGGGAAGGTCCCTGAGGGAGCCTGGTGCTGAGCCAGAAGAGGCTCCCTGGTGCTTCTGTCTTAGGCCACTACCATCCCGTTCCTGCCTCCTTGCCTGCCCATGTACCCTCCTTTCTTCTGTCCCCGCCCTTCCCGCTCCAACGGTCCTCTGCAGCTGTCGTCCCAGAGCAGGGCGCATGTCCCTCCCCTGTCTGGGCTCCACCCCAGTTCTTACAGTGTCTGGGCTTTGAACCCTTTATGGTTGTCCACTCGAGATGAGTAGGCTTGGGGTCAGCGCCCGATCTCAGAAGATGCCAAAATGCGGCTAGTTCTAGATGAGCTGCTGTCAGGGCTCAGCCACGGGAGCACGAGGCTGCTCAGACCCTACGGCGGAAAGTCCTCAGGCCTCACAGGCTTGGCCTTGGAGGCTGCTTTCAGAGCAGGAGCCAAGCCCTGGGGTCCTTCACAGGGACTCTTGCAGAAAGTTCATGCTTTAAAGCCTTTTTCAGGCCTTTAGGCTTAGCTTCTGCTCTCTGCGCACCCACTCTGGTTAAGGGGGTGAGTGTGACGGCTTGCCAGGGATCATGGACACAGGATAGGCCCTGCTGCCATGGGTTTCAGGCTGCTTATTGCTTTTCTTATAGGAACATAGCCAGGAGAAGAGGGAGGCAGAGGGCTGGTCCCTCCTTCCCTCCCATCCTCCCTGAAGGTCTGATCGTCTCCAGCAGTGGGAGGAGGCCAGAGGCCCAGGGCCTTGTGTGTATCCTCCCTGAGCTTCTGCTCACTCAGGGCCGTAGTCTGAGGAGCAGTGCTGGGTCGTAGGCATTTTAATAAGCAACCACTGCATAGTTTCTGGGTACCTGCCTGGCCACGCAGTAAGGCCCCCCCCCAGTTGGGTACGGTAGGGGAGCAGCTTTCGGAGCCCTGGCGCCACAGACTGCTGGCTTGGGTGAGCTGCAGCTGCCCTGGGGGTGAGGGCCTTGTGGAGGGGCACTGGGAGCTTGTGCCTGAGCCTGGCTTCTCCCCGAAGGGGGCTCTGGAGCAGCTTCCTGCCCTCAGCATGGGCCTTCCCTGGGTGGTATTCACATCAGCATGATTCCTCTGCCTTCAGCTCCTTCCAGAGGCATCCTGTCCTCAGGGGGCCCCAGTCAGGGGGTCGGGACTGTCACTCATGCAGCTCTTGGGGAACCAAAAACCAGCACTTAAAATAAAGCTGAATGACAGAGTCCTGGGCTCTGTGGTAAATGTAAATCGCTCTGTAGGCTGCACAGTGAGGTGCCCCCCACCCTGCCCCAGGAGCCTAGCAGAGTCTGCTCACAGTTGCCCACCTAGTCAGGTGGTTGGGCAGGTGCGGCCTGAAGTGGCAGGTGGTGATGGGGCCAGAGGCAGAGGTCTACTCAGCTGCTGACTGGCCAGGGATTCCATGGGCGCCAAGGGAAACTTGCATTCTCAGGCCTGCCACCTGTGGGCTCTTCTCTGTGGCCCAGAGGGACACGTGGCTTCTGTCTGGTCACTGGCTAGCCCTTCCGTGCCAGCCCAGTTCACACTTAGCTCTCCACAAGCTGAACTGCTAAGAAAGTCTTTATTAATAAGGTGGGAAGGGAAGGCAAGGAGCCTGGAGACGGACACACCGGTACCAGGGGTTACAAACAGTAAGAAACACTTTATTATAACTTTACAACATATAAATAGCTTGGGTCAAATCTGTGCTTTCTGGCAGCTGGGCATCCAGTCTTGTCCCCCGCAGGCTTGGGCCTTCCTTCACATTGCACTGTTCGCTGGGTGGCTCTGGCCCTGGGGCCTGGTGGTGGAGGGTGGAGAGAAAGCTGGGCAGCCCCGCACCACTGTCCAGCTCCCAGAGGGGGCGCCCCGCCTGTCATCTGCTTGGGTTGCGGCTGGTGTGGAAGGACCGCTCCTCAGGGGTCAGGCCAGCAAAGAAGGGGTGCAGCAGGGCCTCCGCCAGTGTGATGCGCTGGGCAGGGTCGAATTCTAACATCTTCCTCATCAGGTCAAACAGCTGCACGTGCTCCAAGGCATCCTCGAGCATGTAGCTCTGCTCAGGGACACAAGGTGCCGCAGTGTGACGGCGGGGCCGGGGGGCCACCGCGGGTCCCCGAGCCTCTGGGAGGCCTTGCTGCAGGGCTCGAGGAGCCAGTGCTTGCCCCCCGGAGGACCACTTCTGCCCTCCTGGACCGCGAGCGGCTCTGCTCCTTGCATGCCCGCGTAGAGCTTTTGGCTCTGAGCGTCTCGCTGGCTTGGTGCCTCTGCCCCTGCATGCAACGTCCCGACAGGTGGGCAGTGTCCCCTCTGTAGAATTCACTGGTCCGGGCACCAGATGCCGTCGACAGAGGATTTCAGGCCATGTCTACATCTTCCCTCCCCCTCACCTCAGTCCTGCCTAGTTCTTCCCAAAACTGAGAGAAGAGGAGCACCGGAGGCAGCAAGGTCTCTGACATCGGGCTCTTCTGGTGCTCCCCCATTACATCCATGGCCACCCTGTGGGGGAGGGACGGGGCTAAGGGCCCCTCGGGGGGCGGTTGGCAAGCAGCCCCATGGCCCGCACCCAGCAGCCTCGGGTGTGGCCTCCCACAGAGCCGGAGCGAGGAGGCAGCCTGTAGCTGCCAGGCCGGTCTCTGCTGTGTGTCTGCCCAGTGCCTGGGGCCTCCTTGGCAGGAGCCGAGCTGGGGGAAGCCAGAAACTGACCTTCAGAGGTTTGCAGTTCTCCTTCACATACCGGCCATCAGAGCTGTTCTCATCCCAAACCAGGCCCCCTTTGTAGAAATATTTCTGTTTCCTGGAAGCGAAGGAAAGAAGGGGTCAAGCCTCAGGGGTTGGGGGAGACATGGCAGTCTGGGGAATGACCGCAGAGCCACCGGGGATGCTAACTGGCCCAGAGCCACAGGGGAGGAAGGTCTGGGCAAATGTCTGCCAGCTCGGAGTGCGGTACGGGAGGGAAGGCCGCTAGGAGCCGTGTCCTGGAAGACCGGCTTGTGACCCAAGGCCAAGATGGGAGAGGCCCCCATGGCCACCCCTGAAGGCGTCTCCACGGCTGCTTACCTGGTACGGTGGATCATGTGTGAGGGGATGGGCCCTAGGATCTTCTCCATCATCACCAAATGTTCTCGGTTTTCGTGGGTCTATTAGAAGGTCAGGAATAGAGCAAGCAAGAGTCAGTACCAGCCTCTGCCCCCTCAAAAAAATAAGGGACCCAAAAAGATGGGCAGGTGCCTTCCTTGCCCCAAGAGATGTGAACCCACCCGTGAATAGTAATCCCGGCCTCTGATATGGTGGCAGCCTGCCAGACAGTTCTCTCAAGGTCAAGTTCACTCTCCTCAGCCTTTCGGGTGGACTTAACCATCACCGCACACCTCTCTCCAATGACTTCCCTCACTCTTTCCAAAATGTGCCCGACCTCAGCCCCTCTCTGCCCCCTCCCCCCTCAGGCTGTGCTCCTGCCTCAAATGCTTGCTCCTCTTGCTATGGTCCTCCACGCTGAGGCCGAGCACGAGTATCCCTGGGCGCTCCACTCCTCGACCTCAGAAGCCCGAGTGTCCCAGCGTGCGGACGCGGGGTGGTCACAGGGCTCTCCCACGCCAGCCCCTGCAGCCTGCCCAGGGAGCAGTGCTCAAGCGAGCCCCATGATGCAGGAGGCCTTACCTGGAAGAGTGTGAAGCCCCGGTAGTACTCAAAGAGAATGCAGCCGATGCTCCAGACATCGCAGGGCTGTGCCCAGCCCAGCTCTGAAAGCCAACATGGGAGGAGACCGTGACACTCCGCTCCCTGCTCCCAGCCCAGATGTCAAAGGACAGCTGCCACTCTGGCAGGCGGGACCCTAGCCCAAACCCCAACACAAGGCCCTTTCTCAGGTAAGGCCAAGTGAGCCGCCACAGTGACACCGGCCCCTGGGGGCAGGCACATCCCCGCCCCTAGTCCTCCCTTCCCGACGACAGTCCGCTTTATCAGGGGCTGGGGGCTAGCCAGTCACTCACCAAGGATCACCTCAGGTGGGCGGTAGTGACGGGTGGCCACAATGGTCGTGTGGTGCTCATGGTCAAAGGTGGCACTGCCGAAGTCAGCCACTCGAATGCTGGTGTTCTTCACTGCCTTCTCCTCACAGCTCTGAGGCAAGGAGGGCGCGCAGGTCAGGAGCCTGTCCCAGTGGGTGACCTACCACAGAGCACGGCCTTGCCCTCTCCCGACCCCTACCTTGTGCTCATTGTAGAGAGTTTCAAACTCTGAATTCACAAACAAGATGTTCTCTGGCTTCAAGTCTGTATGGGTCAGTTGGTTTTCATGTAGAACTGGGGAAGCAGGAAACAACCTTGAGAACCCCGGCTGCTTCTCGGGCCCCACTGCCGGCACGAGAGGAGACTGCAACCCCACAGCTGGTCTGCCGGCCACCCTCATCCCCCACCAGCCTCTGCAGGGGGCACAGCGGACTCTGCCTCCACGCTGGCCTTCCGCGTGAGTGCTCGGTGCTTGGGGCCGTGGCCAGTTCTGATACTTAACAACAGGGCCGGGGACACTTCTATCTAGTATAGAAAACCTCCTTCCTCCTCCTCAGCTTGTCTCTGGCCAAGGCTGCAGCATCAGCCTGGGGGCTCCTTCTCCCCAGCACCGGCTGCATGATTTGCAGGCCGGGGACAAGATGAACATACAGGTCCCCTCACTCAGGAGTCACAAAGAATGTTAAGGTGGCAGCGAGCAAACAATAACCACAGGGCCGCCCCTGAAACACAACCTGAGGCCGGCCCTGCCTCTTCCTATCCCTCAGCCTGGGAGGAGACCTCTACCTTCTCCTTCCAGCTCCTGTCCCACCAATGCACCTTCTGACTCCACACTCCCAGCTGGTGGTCAAGATCCGGCGTGTAGCATGACCCACCTCTCTCCAGCCTGGGCCCTGCTTCCTCAGAGGGAGTTTCAGCACATCGTGGGGTCTGGGGCCCCCAGGCCCCCCCGCCCCTCCACCATCTGTGCAGACCCGAAGAGCCTTGCTCTAGGCTCCTCCCTGGAGGGGAACCAAGCCTCTCCTTCCTCCCAGACAGTCCTCCCTAAGGCCTTTCAGCCAAAGGGGACCCAGTGCCTCTGGGGCCAGGGATGATGGTTGGTAGCGCACTGGTGTGAGTGCAGGAGGCCACCAGGCGCGGGCACAGACACTTACATCGGAGGGCGTGGCAGAGCTGGTAGGCCATGTGCCGCACGTGCGGCAGCGGGTAAGGCTGGAAGTTATTCTCCTTCAGGAATTCAAAGGTGTTCTTGCCCAGGAGCTCAAAGGCGATGCACATGTGCCCATGGAAGTTGAACCAGTCGGACATCAAGACACACAGGCTAGAGGAGAAGATGGGGGGGGGGGGTGTCAGTCTCTGCCCCTCCCTCAGATGAGGCTGGTCCCCACCCCCAGACCACTGGGTCACCCATGCCCATAAAGAAAAACCCTCAATTACAAAGCGCATGTCTCCCATCAGAGACCACCCTGATCAGCTCAGGGCAAGGACTAGACTTCCTGCTGCCACAGGGGAAGTTCTGGCCCAAGGCGTCCTGCCCCGTCTACTTAAGACGTGGCCATAATCCCTGCACCTCGGAAAGAGATGGAATCGTGCCTGCCTTTCTCCAGCTCCCCTAACTGAGCTTCCCAAGTCCGCGGGGCTCAGCGCCGGGCTGATGGGAGAGGAACTGCTCCGTGTGGGTACACCGGGGCGGCTCGACTTGGGAGTCCTCCAGCTGTGTAAGCGCTGCAGCAGCTGCGGGGCTGTGTCTGGTCTGACCCCCGCCATGACCCACAAGGCCCTCACTTACGGAAGCGGGCCCCGGAGGCCGCCTCGGAGCACAGAACCCTTGGGGTGGAGCCTGCACTGCGACCCCAGGGCTCCTCCAGTGGGACTCACGGGGCCTGGGCGCGCTGCTCTGCACGCCAACTGGGTGACAGGCCTCGGCTCCGCCGGGGGTCCGGGCAACTGCAGCCGGAGCGGACACCGTCCCCACAAAAAGCTTCCCTCTCATTCCCTGAGACACTCACAACTTATTCTCTTTGTCCTTCTCCTTGATTTTTTTGAGAACGTTGATTTCTAGCCGGGCGGCCTCCCGGTACTTGCCCACGTTGCGAATGATCTTTAGGGCCACCTGAGACTTCCCTCTGGGAGCCGGGGAAGAAGCAGAGGTTCTCAGAAGTGCCCTAGCCCTTCCCCGCCCCCCGCCCTCCACCCCAATCTCGCAGCTCCTGGCAAACCGTGCTCAGGACTCAAGGAACAGGACCTGCTCCAGAGGGCCCAGACGCCTGGCCCCCAGCCTGTCTCCAGGCAACGCCGCCCCGCCCCGCCAGCTCTCCTGGCATCTGTGAGTTAGTGTGTCAGGGCCAGCCTGGACCTCTCTGATGCCAGCCACTGCCAGCTCCCCAGACAGCAAGCAAAGGAGTAGAGGCCCAGCCTGCTGGCCAGCACCAACACCAGCTCCCTCAGTAACCTGACCTGTAGGCCAGCCAGCCCTGACCCTGGCCAGGCCATCCCAGCTAGAACCGTCCTACAGCACCTCCTGACCTTCCTAAAACACATCTCCAGGTCTGGGCAAATGGCTCCACCTGGGGTGGGGGTTCCAGGATGAGAAAAAGCTTTGGCAAGAGGGTAAGGGTGCCAGCAGTAGGGGCCCCGGGTTGCTCCCTTTACTACACTCCCTCTAGCTGCCTGCCAACCAACCAGCCACAGCGTTTCTCGGAGACCCCCGAGTGCCCCGAGGCCTCTTCAGCGTCTAGTAAGGATTTGAAGAATCCCTGCTCTGTGCTTCCCATCCGCCAGCCCCGCCCCACAGGCTGCCTGTAGGACGCCCGCAGAGCAGGGACCATGCTGAGGTTCGAACACCAGGCTCAGCGGCCAGCGGGAAGGGCCAGCCAGACTTCAGAAGCCCGGGGGGAACGAGAGTGAGATGGCGCTGGCCCACAAGAATGTGGCCTCCTGAGGCCCCTGGGAGGCTAGCTTGGTGCCTGAGGAAAAAGTTCACAAGCCCCAGGGCAAAGGCATCTTCTGGAAAATAACCTGTTTTTCTCTCCCTATCCCACTTTCCCAGATTTTCAGGGCAGGGAAAGACCTCAGAGGAAAGGCCACTCACTCCAGGCTCCTAGGGCCGGATCCCTCAATGGCATTCTCACCTTCAGCAGAGAGCTCATAGCTCCCGCAGGCAGCCACAGCCCGGGCTGGATGGCGCTGGGGATCAGGCCCTTCCTTCGGCCGAGGTCAATTTACCCCCCTCATTACCACCCTGCTGGCCAACTACCTTTGGATCCCCTAAAAGTCCCCCAAGCGTTGTGGCTGCCCCTTAGTGATTTCAGAGACTCATTTCCCCTCCACCTACTCGGGGTGGGGGGACACGGCCCAGACAGCTTAGCTGCCCCCACGTGTCACAGCTCGCAGATCTGCCTCCCACATCTCAGGTCCCAGTATGGTCTACATGTCCTTCCCTCTGCCCAACGACCCCAGCCCTAACCTCGGGGGCCACACTGGGTCTGAGGGGTGTTTAAATGGGAACTGGGAGCCCAGGGAGATTTCCTGTCAGTCACTGTCACTACCTTATATGGAAGGCCACCAGGCTAGCTGGATGGCTAGGTCTAACTGTCCTTTCTGAGTGCCCAGTACCATGGCGGCCTGGTGCCAGGGGTGCCAGGGGAGCATGGGTCCTATTTCTTCACCCCGAGCATAGTGGGAAGAGCATGATGGGCAGCACATGGCTCAGCGGGACAGGAGAGACAGGGCACCTGGTAGCTAAGGCATCAGACCAATGAGAGTGCCCTCAGAGGGGAGGCAGCGGGCTCCCGGGAGGTGGCCTCCCAGCCTAAGGCAGAGGGGCACAAGTTCTGGTCTGCCAGAATGGCGAGGGAACAGAAGTGTTTCACTGTGCAGCCTGGAAGGCAGCACGGCTCCCCAGAGGCCCCCAAACACACACCGGAGGAGCCCCGTTCTACCTGCATGCACCCAGAGGGACACACAGTCCGGCCTGGCCATGTGGGAGAGGGCAGCACCCGGCAGGGTCAGAGAGCCCGAATCTGGTTCCTCTCAACCCAGCCATGCACCAGGTTTAGGGGGTCCAAAGGGAGTTGGCCAGCGGAGTGGACAGCCGGGTGGCCAACGTCTCAGACAGACCTCCTGAGCCAGGGAGGGGTTGCTCAGGCGGGGCTCTGCAGTATTCCCAACCTGCCTCCCAGCCCCAACCTGACACAAGATGGCAGGAAGCGGGCCCAGACCACAGAAGGGCCAGGGCCTTGGCCATGTGCCGACAGCCACCACAGAGTCCTGGGGCCAAAGGGCCACCAGAGCTGCACCCCTCGCCAGCCAGCAGTTTGTGGGCAGGGAGGCCACCTGGCTGCGGAGCCCTGGGAACGGCTCCCTATCTCAGGGGATCAGCAGAAGCCCCGCACTCGCAGGCCGGCCCCCTGCCATGAGCCCGCTCGGACGCCCACCGCCCACCCCGCAGAGCCGCTCACCGGGCATGGTCTAAGCACTCCACCACCTTGCCGAACGTGCCTTCGCCCAAGTTCCCCACGATCTCATCTAGGAGAGAAAAGAAGCAGTGCATGAGGGCCTGCAGGGCAGAGGGCCGGCAGCTCCTGCAAGTTCACAGCATTCAAATTCTCAAAAACAAAAAAGGTTTCTTTCTCACGGCTACACTCTTAAAAACAGAAGTTGCTAGCGTCTGCGTCATTCAGGCAATTACTGGTGGCCCCGCTAAGGCACCACGAGCACTAGAAGCCCCTCCGGGCAGGAGAGGTCTCGTCTAACAGGGGGGAGGAAGTAGAGAGGTAAAGTTTTACGAAAGGTGGCTGTACATCGCTCCTGGAGCCAATCGCCGGTCCGACACACCAGGTGGCCCTCCTTGTCATCTTCCACACTCCGGCTGCTGCGCTTACTGCTCTGTTGGCTTCTCTGCATGCACCGCCCCCCGAAACGCCATCCGACCCATCGCATGGTAGGCGGTTCCGATTGACAGATTGAGGTGTCAGTCAAAGGCAGAGGTGGAGACGGTGAGGAGCCGGCGGGTTGGTTGGTTGGATTTTCCAGATCCCAGCATTTCATAAGGCACACAGCATATATAACGATAGGGATATTGCAAGGGACACGTCAAGACACAAACTGACTTCAAAAACAGAAAAGTAAAAACAGCTACAGGTATGTAAGGAAAACTCGGACATTATCTAAGAGAAGGGCGCCGCCAGCGCTCAGAAAGACCACGGAGCCTCTGCTGCCAAGGGGCCGGGCCGCGCGAGAGCCACAGCCCCGACTCCCTTCGCCACCGCACGTCCCCCTCCCGGGCCCTCCCGAGATGGCCCCTGGCGGGCTGAAGCCGTGCTGAGGACGGCGCAAGAAGGCGGCCAGCTCTGCACACGGCCGGTTGTGCGGAAGGGCCAGAGGCCACTCCGGCCTGAGTGGCAGGACGCCCGGCCCGCCCCTGCCTGCCTCTCTGCGCACACGCAGCCCTGCACGGGCCCGACAGCTGCCACTCAGAGCCACGCCTGCCACCTGCCCCCAGACGACACCTGCAGCCAGACGTCACGTCACTACCACAAACGGCCTGCTGCCGGCGGCCCTTGTGCCGCCGGCCTGGAGCGGGGAAGGAGCCCGGGTACCGCTGGGCCAGGCGGCCTCCTACCACGACGGCCCCCGCGGGCCCCACGCCAGCTCCTGCCCTGGCCTCGGCGCCCAGGCTCTCACGGCCTCATGATGACATAGGGCACCAGAAAGAGAAGAAGCAGAGCCCCAGCCCTGCACTGCCATCCTGCAGCAGTGTGTGGCTGCGGGCACAGAGGCCACCAGGCCGTGCTCAGTGGTCGCGGTCAACCCTCAACCTGTGGCCACTCAAGGAAGTCGCAGGAAAGCTGAGCAGAAGAGATGCCTGGCCCCCTGCACTGGGTCCGCCACTAATCCTCAGGGGCCTCCTGGCCGGCGGGAGGGAAGAGGGACGGGGAGGAGAAGAGAAGACAGCAGGTCCCCTGACAAGCGCACGAGGGGCCCGAGTGCCGCGTGGGCTCCCGGCCTCGGCCGAGATCGAGACCGCCTCCACGGCCAACACCACGGCCAGGGGCCGCACCTGGCGCCTGGCCAGCAAGCAGAAGAGGCCTGGGCCGCAGGCCTTTCTGCCATTCGTCCATGCGCCCCATCACATGGGCAGCCTGTCCCCTCATCTTGACCGCCCCTCCCAGGAAGAGGCGAGGCTGCGGAGGGCCCAGCTGGAGATCAAGGTCAGAGGGGCAGCTCCCGGTCTGCGCTGACGGGCAGACCTCCCCTACCCGTGGGCACTCCGGCCTCCGGGCCTCTGCGGAGGGCTGCGGACCCCAGAGACCGGGCCACACATCGCCAGACCACACACCAGCAGCCCTATCAGGTTCCCTAAATGTCCCCAGCCACGCACATCACGTGGTCTGGAGCAGCGCAGAGACACAGACAGGTGGGGGGGGCGGTATCGCTGGAGCCAGAGCCCCTCTCGCCACCAGCACAGTGGCCCGAAGATGGAGGGGCCGGGCCTCTGGCTCAGCCCTGCACCTGGACCAGACGACACAGACACACACACAGGCACACACACCCAGTGCGCGGGCACAGGGCTGGCGGTACTCACCCGGACCTGCCAGCCTGAGAGAAGGCTAGAAAGCCACAGGGCCCTGAGGCCCCAGCCAGCACACCCCGGCCACCACTCACCGAGGAGGCGCTGCTACAAGACCTGGTGCGGCGTTTGTGGCAGTGGTGGGCATGCTTGCGGGGCCGGTATGGCTCCCTGTCCCGCGACCGCCGCCGGTGGTGGGAACGCGAAGACCCGTAGCAGTCCTCCCCGAAGGACGGGCTCCGCTCTTCACACCGGTATGTGTCGCTGTCCCGGCGCTCCCGGTACCTCCTCTGGTAGGGCAGGCGGTCATGGCTGCCGGGAGGGGGTGAGGACACCAGTAAGATGGGAAGCTTCCTCCCACCAGCCCAGTTTCGCTTCTGGGCAAAAGGCGTGTGGCGAGGCCCCCACAAAAAGCTCATGGGGCAGCCCGCTGGAGCAGAGGCATCCAGATGGGGGTGGAAGGCATGTACACGAAGTCCCACCTCCAGAACCCGGGCTGCTGGCAGCACCCCTCCAGGACAGGAGGCAGAGCACGGGGGAAGGCGAGCAGGGTGAAGGGCCTTGGAGGGTCCTATCACCCCAAGACTCCCTATGGCTGCTAACACAGGATGAGGAGCCAACCTCCGGAAAGGACAGAGGCTGTGTTATGAGTCCCACTGAAGGAGGCTCAGAAGTCAGCAGGGGAGATGCTGGCCTGGAAATAGGGAACCAGTCTGGAGAAGGAAGACTCAAGGACAGAGAAAGGGGCAGCAGGATGGCAGCGAACACGGAGGCCCGGGAACACAGCTGAGATTAGGGGGGCAGAGGCGGCAGGCCCGGAAGGAGCCCAGGGCCGCCCCAAGCCTCCACACTGTCTCCCCAGCCCTGCCCAGGGATGGAGCCCCTTCCTCCCACCTAGCCCCCTGTCACCTTCTGGACCGAGATCTCCGGGGCGGAGGCTCCCTTCGAGACGGGTACCGCAGTCTCCCTTCATGCTCCCGACTGTAAGACCTCCTCCTCTTCCATCGGTAGCTCAGGTACGGGTCTGGCTCAGGGGAGCGGTATCGCTTACAGTGATGCATCTAGGCCACGGGAAAGGGAGCCCCGCTCAGTGGGCAGCCAGGCAGCCAGTCACCTCCGGCCACTCGGGGCACCCAGGCGCTCCTGAAGAAGAGGCCCATTGTTGTGTTTGGGAGCAGCCCCTCCCAGGGGTTTATGAAGCAAAAAAGAGCTCTGAGGTCACACTGGTCCAACAGCACACAACGGGCAACACCCTTCTGTGCCACTGAACAAACACACAGCTGCCTCCCCAGCCCAGCATCCCGAGCACTCAGGTCACCCGGCCAGCCCGCACAGGTGCAGCGACAGAATGGGTGGGGGGGTGGCGCTGCTGAGCACCATCCCAGAAAACCAAGGCCAAGGAGAGAGGAGAGCCTCCTGGCCGCCATTCTCTCCTGTCTGTGGGCTTCTATGAAGTGACTGGCCTATCAAGCCAGAGGCCCAAGGGCTGCTGGCAGGGAACACACACACAGGAGCAAAGGGTGAAAGCCCTCAAGTTTGAGGCCAGGTTGCCTGACTGAGGCCCTGAACTGGACCCCACTCGAGGGAGCAAAGGCCACACCTCCATATCAGGGGCCATGGGCAGAAGCGAGAAGGCCAGCCTTTAGAGAAGGAGGTCCACAGGGTCTTACAAACATTCCCCAGTCGATCCAACGGGCTGACCAAACAGACCTGGGGGTCTGTCCAGCCCCTGCTGCTCCATACTCTGTCTCAGCACCAGTAAACTGACAGCAGCCTCCTCAGAGCAGCGAGTCTCTCACCAAGACCCCTGGGGCACCCTCCGACCACCTGCAGTGCCTCGCCTCCAACTGTGCCACCACTGCCCCCTCTGCTAGATCCCCTGCTAGATATGCTAGATCCTACCTCGAAGTTCCAGTCCCCTCTCCTATGCTCATCTCGGGAGAAGCCGGAGGACTGAGTGTCTGGCAGCCTGTGTGCTTGGAGAGGCCTGCCCAAAGGGCCCTACCTCACCGTGCCTGTTTGGCAGGGACTTAAAACCCACCACAGGTAACCACCAGGCTGGATCAGACACGAGCTTAGGAAGAAGGCTATGTGAGGCCAGCTCCCGGTTCCACCCACCCAGAACCCGGACACTGCCTCCGCTGGAAGGCTGGGCCAGAGATCGTGGCCAGCCTTCCTCCCAACCCTTTACTTGGCTTTCACCAGCCTTCAGTGGTCAGTGCCGGGCTCGCCTTACTCAGCACATTTGGACAAACCCACCGAGGCTGCCCCAGCTCACGAGAAGGGTCCATCAGGAGAGAAGAGTGAACCAGCTCCTGTGTACGGGCAGGGCAGCCGGGCCTATCTGACTAAACCCCTGGAAAACCTGAGAAATCCTCTGTTCCCGATCTCCCCACCAGCAGGTTTCTCCCCATATCTACCTCGAAGCCCAGGCCCCAGCAACCCTCGGAGGTAAACACCAACTGCTCCTCGAGAGCTTAAACTGCTGTTCTATTTTGACAATCAGCTGACTAATGAATGTTTCACGGTTTTCCTGCAATTACCCGGGTCAGGTGTCCAAATTATGGAATGAAGGCAGTATGTCACATCTCCCTAAGCGACAGCGAAGATGCTCTGGTGGCCAGGCAGGCAAAGCTCCAGAGCTGGACGATGTGGTCTGGTCCACGCCAGGCCAACTCCTCCAGGGACCCGGAGGGTTCTCATGCCCATCCCTGTACTCGAGTGGGCGGAGCAGAGGTTCAGAGTTGACAGATGTTGAGTCCCAACACTGCCACTTCTAGCTGTGTGCCTTCAGGCAAGTTATTGACCTTCAACTTCCTCTTGCAACAAGGGAATAATAATCTCTTATAAGGCTCTGTGAGGATTAAATTACGCCACTCCTTTAATAATGCCCAGCACATGCCTTTGGGTCATTTCATTAACAAGGTTAAAAAGATTCCAGGTAATACCTCTGGGTCTAAGTTAGGACACAAAGGATATTTTATAAGTCCCTTCCAAGGGGGGGTGAGAGCCCTAGGTAGAAAATCCCAAACTAAATCCCAGTGCTCCACTTACTGGCCTCATGACTCTAGGTCGCCATACCTGAAAATTGCAAAAAACACCTTCCAGCCAACTTGGCAACGGAGATGACAAGGATGAGAGCTACAGAGTACCATGCAAGGTAATCAGAGAGGAGATAACCTCTGCTTCAACACTTTCTAGACAGGGGAAATATTGGGGAATACCAGATGTTCCTCATTATCTTCCCAGCCAGGGCTCTAGATCCCATTTCTCACCAATTAGCTCTGAAGCTCTGAGACCCCAGCAAATAGGTTATTTAAGGAAGCTAAGGGTCACAATTATGTTCAAGAAGGCTCTGCTCTTACACAGCGAAGAAAGAGATAATGTAGAGGAAACCAGGCCAAGGATGCCAGCTTTTCTGTGCAGGGGCCTAGTCGGCTTCTCATCTGCAGCTCCTGGCCAGAGAACTGGGCTGACAAGAGCAGCCAGCCAGGTCAGCGTCTGCACTACCGGATCCCAGCCACTCCAGCGCCCCATGGTTATTTTTGGCTGACACGGCCCCACCGCTGCAACCTCAAACCTGCCACCTTACAAGCCACCACCGGGTGAAACGCTCCTCCTTTTCAAGGGCATGAGGAGGGAAGCTGGAAGGCCGCCAACTCCGCCTCGATGGGGGCCTGGCTCAGGCAACTCCCACCCCAGCTCCACACCAGGGCACCCACACCCGGAACTAAAGCACACAGACTCCCCCGGACCAGGGAGCAGCCCGGGCATTTGTAGTGTCAGCTTGACTCGGCCCCTCCCCCGGGCTGGAGAGGCTCCATCAACACAACAAAACAGGCTGAAGGCCTGCGGCCCTCGCTCGCGTCCCTTCCTGACGCGCCTTGGGTCTCAGAGATCCAAGCCCCTTCCCCCATAACCGCCGCCAGCGGCGGCGAGGGGCTACCCGGGGGACAGGCGGATGGCCAGGCTGAGCTAGAATCAAACTTCAGGCCGCGCGTGGAGGAGTCTGCAGGCCTCAAGCAGAGGGTATGGGAGGGGTCTGCAGGCCCCTCCAGGCTCTCCCAGGTAGGACCCCGACCCCACTCCGCGGGAGATGCAGGGCTGAATGTGGATCCCTGCAGGGGCCTCAGGCGCAGCTCAGACTCCGACACCGGGGGATCGAGAGGTCGGGGTCTGCGGTGACCGCCCCTCCGGGGGAGAAGCGGCGGGTCAGGGGTGAGAGGTCGGGGCCGCGACCAGAGGCGGGCCGAGGTAGAGAAAGAGACTAGACCGAGACGGAACCGAGAGCCCGGAGACCGGCACCCACTGTGCCCGCCCTGCCGACTCACCCCCCGCCGCTGCCGCCGCCGCCGCCGCCGCCGTGGGCCTGGGCCCACACTCACCGTCTCCCAGGATCCGGCTGCGGCTAGGCCCCACTCCCCACTCCGAGCGCCTCTTCCGCTTCCGGCTCCGGCCTCCGCCCGCGGCGGCCCCGCCCCTCGCGTGACGCAGCCGTCCCCAGTCCCTGCTCGACCGGGCTCGGTGGCCTGGCCGCTCTAGCCCCCGACTCCAAGGCTCTGGAGGACCCACCTTCGCCGCTCCGGTCCGGGCGGCAGCAGTGGAGACTGGTTCCGGGAGGGCAGAGGGGACGTCCCCCGCCGCGACCCGCCCCTGCCGTATCGCGCCGCACGTAGACCTCAAGACTCGACCGGGGTGCAGGCCCTAGCCGCGGGCGCCCGGAGGTGGACCCCCGACCAGGCCCGGGGACCCTGCCTGCTCTGCAGACCCGACCCCGCCCGTGCCCGCCAACCCTTTCCTGCTCGCGGAGGGGCGGGCATTGTTTCGCTTTTGCCTCAGTGAAAACCGGGCGGGCCTTGAGCGTCCCCTTGGCCCCGGGACCCCGGAGGGCGCCACAGATGACGGAAGCTGGTGTCGCTAGGCTTGGGAAGGCAGCTGCCACTCCCGGTTTCGGCGAAGACGCAAATGAGACCTTACTCTCTGTGTGGGGCTCTGTTAAAGATCTGCGGCACGTCCCTGTTCCCGTGTGCGTCCAGAACGGTTTCGGGGAAGATACCCGAGAGCCACGTCGGCGGGTTTCTGGAGGGACGCGGTCTGGGGGCAAGGGAGTCCCCTCTTCCCTGAGCAGCGCCGGACGCAGACCGGCACTGTGTCACAGTTCATGAACCCCAGGCTCTCGCGGTCAGGCCGCGCGGGCCATTCCTCCCAGCCACTCGACGCCCCTTTTGCCGAGGCTGCGCGGGTGGGATCACCGGAGCCCGTCCCGCCCCTGGCCCGGACGAGATAACGAGATCCCACTTTCCACAGGAGAAAGCCAAGGTCGGGTCCTTTGCGGGAACCTCAGGGATTGTGAGCGTTTCACGCCCCACGGCTCTCGCTGGTACCACCAGGCTACGCCGCGGGGAGCGGGAGTGGGAAGCCGGGGTACCCTCCCGGGACCGCTCTGTGGGGGGCGGGCCGCCCACTCCCCCAATGAGGGCTGGGCACGCCCCCGACGCGAAACGTCCTCTCCCGGCCCCGGCTGGCGCGCTGCGAGCCCATCCGCTCCCTCCGGACTTGTGGCGGTTCCCTCGGTGTTTGGTCTCTGGCTCTCGCTTAAACTGAGGTCCGACGGCGTGGCCTGAGCGGGATGCTTAGTACCCCCCGACCCCCAGTTCTCTGTTAGCTCCACCACGCCACCCGAAGTAACCAAGCGAAGCTAAGGCAACACGGAGGCTTTCTATGCTAATGCGGCCTCAAGAACGGATCCCGGTCCCTTCCCAACCAAATGCACCCGCGTCCCAAATTCAGAAGGCGCTTCCAGTATGCTGTGGGTGACCGAGAACCCGGCTGTCCCCACCCCTCGGTCCCGCTCCCTTAGGATCCTGTCTCCGGGGTCAGAGGTAATGAGTTGCCATTCTTGGCCCGGGGCGCCGTGCGTGGCCTGTGGCCACTGCCTGCATTAGCCTGGTTTCATTTCGGGGTTTCACCCACACAGACAAAATGAAAGGTGTCTCCCCCCACTTCACCCCAAGCGTCATGGCTCCTAGAAGCCGGGGCTGCGTAGGTAGCTGAGGGTGGAGGAGCTCGGGGAGGCTCCTGTCTTCCAGCCATGCACTGGGCGCCGGGCTCCGAGGGGGCAAGTCAGGCGCATCTTCCCACATCGGGAACCCAGGAGCCCCTGCCTCCGGCTAAGGAAGCCGCTCTCCTCCTCTGAAATGGGGCAGGAGCCATCTCCCAGGCCCCTCTCCAAAAGCAGTTCCATAGCTGTCCGGTGCCTCAGATTCTACCATTAGAGCTTCCTTCTTTTGTCTTTTTTGTTCCTGAAAGAACTCACACCTAGAAGAAAAAGAGGCAGAGTATCAGATAGGCACTTGGAAAAAGATCTAACCTGAGGTCAGGTACAGGTACCCCCCCCCCCCATCTCATTACCGCCACTGCTGGAAGGCTGTAACTTTGACAGCTCTTAGCTGGGGAGTTCAAATGGTGAGCCACCTTCAGAGGATCCTTGCTCCACATACCCAGCCCCTTGGGACCCACCATTTTCCCCAGGTCTCTACCCTTGTACCCACCAAGCCTTTGCTGTGTGGGCTGAGAACTGCAACACAGTTCCAGGGCACCAGGGAAATGCCCCTGCCCTGTGCCCTGCTCCCAGCCACCTGAGACCCACCGCAGCTTCCATCCCTCTTGATCTCCCTTTTGCCCTGCTGGGCTCCTGGCTCAGCTAGATGCCTTCTCCAGACCCCAGGTCCTCTGATCCCTTCCTTGTCCTGCTGCCCTTGCTCTCTCTAGTCTGCCACATCCATCTTTGGCTTCTCTGGGGCAGTTAATTCACCTTTGAGCTTCAGCTCCAGGGGCAGGTTAGCCTTCCTGGGCGCTCCAAGGGAGAACCGGACTCCCTGCCCCTGTGCTCCTGCAGCGTTGGGGGCTGTCCCTTCCTCTCTGCACAGGCTCTGTGAATTCAACATCTGGCTGGTGCCACTCCCCACTCCCACAGACCAGCGGACCAGGAGCCCTCCCACACCCAAGTTAGGTAGAGTCTGGGTTCTCAGTAAGCGCTGGGGCCGTCTGTGGGGAGGACCTGTTTTTAATGGGAAGACTGAGCTCCCAGCCAGAGTGGAGTTGTGGTGGCTGCGCCAGGGCTTGGGAGATGGAGGCAGCAGACTGTCATCATAGTCCATCTTGGAGAGGCCTTGCATGGTGGTGAAATGTGGAGAGGGAAGTTCGGAAGTGGCTGCAAGAATGTGGGCCTGGAGTCCAAAGAGGAGAGTGTCAAGGTGTCTGCAGGGAGAGGGCTGGTGGGTGGTAGTGCCATCCTGAGCTGGGAGCGGGTCTGGGAATGTGAGGAGTGAACAAGTCAGTTAGGGGTCCGGGGGAGCTCAGCCCAGTAGCTCAGTAGGTATCTTCTCCCTGTGCCCACACAGAGCTGGGGCAGGGTGCCTGGTGCCCACGTGCGTGGGTGGGAAGACAGTGGTAGGATTCTGAGGCTCAGTCCCTGGAGGTTAAGTGGGTGGGGCCTAGGGCTCAGGTCCTCCATCTTCCAGCTAAAGCTATGGAAGCCAAAGGGGAACTGAAGCAGTAACTTGGTTTAAGGGTTTCTGACCTCTTACGCTGGAGCTAATCTACAGTGTCCCCCAAAGGTTCCCCTGTCCCCTGCAATTTCCAGACTCCCATACTGGGAAGGGGAGCTGCAGGGGTTGGGGAGTGTGGGCCCAGTTTGCAGTGGGCCCCCTTCATGACCTGGGACAACTGACATCCCCTTCAGGCTTCTGTGGCCCCTCCCGAAGCCGGGGAGGGCCAGGCGAGCTTGGCTGTTCAGCAGGTGGCTGGGCCAGAGTCAGCACCGAAGCTCATGGCAGTTGTTGGAACTGAGAACTGTTCGGCGGGGTTGGGGCGGACGTTCATCTGAAATCTGAATCACCAGGGAAGATCCTGAGCCAGGGTGTTGTCGGGTTTGTGCAGGCTCAGCGCCAGGGCCTCAGTTTCCCCATCTGAAGAGGGGCCTCGGAAGCTGGTGCCCTAGCTCCAGGGTCTCCCATCTGTCCTGCTCTCAGGAACTGCACTGTGCAGGAACCCCATGGACCTGCCTCCCCTCCTGCCCCTACCGCGCTCCTGTCACTTTTGGCCACTGGACTGTGCCTGCTCGATGAGCGCCACTGGAGGGTGCAGGTGAGTGTGGGAAAGGTGGGCATGGCAGCTCCTGAGGCCCACGCTGAAACCTGGCTCCTCTTTCCTGGCAGGTGCTCAGAGAGAGCCCTGGAGCAGGTTGGGAGGCTCTCAGAGAAGGCCCTGTGTAGGTACAGCTAGCAGAGAGCTGGGGGCATTGGGCCAAGCTGGCTGGCCACCTGGGGGCATCGCTGGAGGCTGTGTGAAGCAAGCACAGGTGCTGCGGAGGTAGGGATGTGAGCTGGGACTCTCCAGGGCCCCGGGCAACCTCCTCATGCAGGAGCAGAAAGTGAGGGTTAGGGTCCCATCATCCTCTCCCTGATCCTCCTTGATTATCTGTAGCCTCAGGGAGGTCCCCTAAGCTAGCAAGGTCCTCTTCCCAGACTGAGAGCTCCAGAAGGCTCGGGGCTGGTGCTCACATCTGGGGTCATGTTCTCGGGAAGGCTTGTCAAAGTCTGGGGCATCCAAGGAGGACAGATGGGAAGTGGGTTCCCAACAAGGCTGCTGTGCTTAAGTGTCATCTCTGTGAATGGCGCCCTCTGCAGTTGCACAGTGCATTGCTTGGTGTGGCTAGAGGCGCTGATTGGAGGCGAAGGAAGGGCCTGGGTCCCTGCGGCTCCCCAGGAAGTCACAGGGAGGGAGGGGCTGGTTTTAGCTCAGCGGACAGAGGAGTTTCCTTCAAGGGCCATTTGCCCCTGGTGAAAAGCTGCAGTCCCCAGGGAGAGAGGAAGGCAATGGTTCATGCAAGCTGAGGGTTCTAGGGGAGGTATCCAGCACCCCTGCCCCATGTGAGGATGTGGCAGGCAGGGCCACCCTGTGATGGTCTAGGTACCTGAGCCTTTAGTGACCTGGGGGTCTCAGCCCACAGCTGCCCCTCCTAGAGCTCCTGCTCCTTACAGTGCCTGGAGTGACTCTGGGGACTCACCTGACAGCCTGTCTTCTCCTGCCTGACAGCTCTCTGTCATTCCACGACAGGTCCTCCTGCTGGGGCTCTAAAGCCATCAGCAACTGGTATGTCCTAGGTCCAGCTGGAGGTGGAGGGTCACACATCTGGAGCCCGTAGTGGTAATAGTTGGGCACCCCCTGGGAGCTGTGTCCCTTGTGCACAAGCCAGGACATGGGTCCGTGCTGGGCTGGCAGGTGGGCCCCTGGTGGGCTTATCGCAGTGGGTGGGAGCCAGCAGGGCCTGGTGGAGTCAGCCTGCTTTATCAGAATCTGCAGGCACTGCTGTGCTAGGGGCAGGGACGGCCCTCTCCAGGGGCTCAGCACTGCCTTCAGCCCTCCCCACAGCAGGAGGAATGCTTCCTGGCCCACCTGGAACAGGGACAGCAGTGGAGGCCAAACCAGGACGCAGAAGACAAACCAGGGCGCCAGTCGTGCAGGAGGGGCCTAGTGGCAAGAGGTCGGGCAGGATTCTGCTGTTGCAGATAGAAGTAGAAAAGGCCAGCTGTGTTTGGACCAGAGGAGCCAACAGCCCCTTGGCCTAGAGCCTCCTCTAAGTGGGTGCATGGGCAGGGCCCCGAAGACTGGCCCTACCTTTACTTCATTCTCTGGTCTTCATTCTTGGAGCAGCAGCTGGGGAGGGAGGGAGGGAGGGACATGCAAAGATTTCTGTGCAGCCCAGAGAGGGACAACCCTGCCCCCATCATTTGGGAAGACCCTGCCGTTACCCAGCCAACTCCCCTCCTGGTTCAGATGGGAAAACAAAGCCCCAAGGATGGGGAAGAACTCATTCAGGGTCAAAACAGTGTGGTCTGGAGGCTGTGAGGACACCCTGGGATCCTGGACTGAGCGGACCTACAGGAGATGCTGGTGTCAGGCCTGCAGGGGTGGGTTGGGGACAGGGCCCAGGCACTTTGGGGCCCTGGTGGAGTCTTAACCACTGCCTAGGCTCAGGACATGATCCTCCCGCAGAGCAACTGCTGATGCTTGCCCCAGAGGCCCGAGACAGCTGGCACGGTCAGCCCCAGGGGTATCCAGGGTGCCAACTGAGCCAGCCTGTGTCCACCTGTAGCAGGGGGCAGAGAAGCACGGGAGTCTGGGCCCTGTCCTTGGGGGATTCCAAAGTCAGGGGAGGGACCCTAGGGACAGCATGGAAAAGAGAGTGTCCAGGAGGGACAGGCTGGAGCAGGGCCTTGACATAGTACTACTCTAGCACGCACCACTCACATCCCGGAAAGAGAGCGCCCTTCGGTACTGTGTGTCTTGGTACCGTCCAGCCTTAAATCATCTGGTCCAGAACTAAAGCCTGGAGTTCAGAGAAGCCTCTAGGGGCTGGGTTCAGAGGAGGCCTTCTGGAAGAGCCCCACAGCCCCGGTGGATGCTAAGCCATGACTGGGTGGAGTGGGAGGTCTTCACAGGTGAACAGGAGACTCAGAAGAGCTAGGCAGAAGTGCCAGTGACCAGTGGTCTGTTCACAGCAGCCGTCCTGGCCGCCTCAAGGACAGCAGGAGTCAGAGGGCCCTGGGCAGGCCCCGGGGGCAGAGCACCAAGGCCACGTGTGGGGAGGGCAGTGTGGCTGGCAGTACTGGAGGTGGCCCCTGGCCAGGAGACCCGGCAAGTGGCTGCTCAGGCCACCGCCCCAAGATTGTCCAAGCTGGAGTGGGTGTCCTGCTCCCCACTGGGTGAGATGACCCTGTAGGCAGGAGGTGGGCCAGCCTCTGTCTCCAGCTGCAACAATACTGAGCCCCAAATCCTGAACCATGTGGCCAAAGCCAGCCTCCCTTCCCCCAGGTATCAACACTCCTGCTTGTCCCATTCTGGCTCTTTTTGGGGGAGCGTGTGGGAAATCTTTCAGCTCCAACAAGTCCTGTCTCTGCCACACGTGGCCAAGACTCTGCTGCTGACCCAGAGCCAGGCTGGAGGGTGGGGGGCAGGGAGGCAAGATGACCTTCGCTGCAGGGTTCAAGTCAGGAGGCTTGGGAGTGGGAGTGCCCAGGACAGACTCTGTGTGTGTAGGGGCCTCGGAGGAGGCGTCTCTGCCCCAGTCCCCATCCCAGCCCCCACCCCACCCCATCCACATAGTGAGGACATCTCTGCAACTTGTAAAGAAACCATTAAAATCTCGCCAGCTGGGGGCCCCCCCGTCTGCCTTCCCATCCCTTCCCACAGGCCCCTCCTCCTCGCTCTCTTGCCCATTGCCCAGGCCTCCCTACTGCCGGTGAGCTAGTCTCTTCCTGCTCTTAGGACGCCCGATAGCTTTACCCTACACTTCCTCCCCTTCTCCTGCAGCTTCCTTGTTCTATTCTACCCAGCCGCCCACTCATCCATTCGTCCGTCCGTCTGTCCATCCATCCATCATACGTTCACTGAACATCCACTTCTGGCCTCTTCTGTGCACAGGAGAACTGAAGTCAGATCAGCCCACTCCTTGTCCCCAAAAGCTTGTGGTTTGGCTCTGCACAATCGTCAAGGGGGCAGTTACGATTTAATATGCCTGCTCAGGGGACAGGCGCTGTGGGAGTTGGGGGGATGCGCAGCAGATCGGTAAGTCCTCCATATCGAGGGGATTTCTGAGCCTCTGAACCGTCACGGAAGGATGGACAGGCATCCTCAGCAAAGACAAGATGGGCGGAGCACATGCAAAGGCCCAAAGACAAGAGGCATGAAGGTGGCGGTGCTGTGAACAGTCCCTGCCCCAACTGAGAAGCCGAGCGGGTAAGGGGGTGAAATGTGCATCAGGGGCCAGAGCAAGGGCTGGGGTGCCCCGGGCCCTGTCCACCAGACTTGAACTCATTTAGTGACTGCCTCCTTCCGGCTGGTGCCCTCCCTTAGTCTCCAGGGCAAACGTTTATGTGCACAAGCAGACAGACTGGTGGACACACACCTGCCCCCCACCCCAGAGACACACACCTGTTCCCAGATGCACGTACACAGACACAGAGAAACAGAGGCAGCAAGGAGGTGGCTGGGAGAAGCAGAGATGCAGAGCCCCAGGTTGGGGGCGCGCTCTGCCGCAGTGGGGCTGATCTGTTGGTCCAGCTGGAAGGAGCATGAGAGAGGGTCTCGGCAGCCCTGCTTAGTTGGCCTTGAGCCTCATAAAATGTGGGGTTGGTCTGAATCAGTGTATCTCAAGCTGGGGTCTGGAGCTTTGCTCTGACAGGGCTGTTCATTCCACAAGGCAGCATATTTGCTGTGATTGTCTGCAACCGTGATTGTGTATTTATACAGACAGTGACTGTGAATTTGTATGGAAAGAAATCTCAAGTTTTTGTCTGTTTCTTGATCCAGACCCCTGAGGATGGAAGTGTCTCCCCAGGGCCTGGAGAGAGAGTCTACACTTTCTGGGGGTGCATGCTGGTCAAGATGGGGGTCTGCAGTGGATGACGTCAGTGAGAAAGCAGGGCACACAGTGCCAGGGGGCTGGGCCCTTGGGCAGATTCAGGTGCCTGGAAGGAAGCGGTGTGTGGGGGGGCCCTATGCAAACAACATGCAAAGGACCCCCAAACCAGTGTCCACGTGGCCCCAACTCTAGGGCCTTCCAGTCCTCTGCTTCTCAGGGACAGCGTAGGCCATTTTTCTCCAGTGCCCAGGGAGGCCTGCCCAGGACTCATCCTCTGTGAGCAAGCGGGTGTCCTGGGCTCTGCGCCTGTCCAGGGAGGGTGGCCTAGGATTCTGCCCTGGGTCATCGGCAGGGGTACCATGGGGAGCAACCAAATGGCCAAAGTCACAGCAGGGCGGAGGCCCTGAGGGAGAGTGGGCAACAGCTGGCTGGCAAGAGGGTGTGAGGGGCTCCCAGGGCCACCAACACTCTCCACCTCCATCCATCCCAACCTCAAGCTCCTTCTACCCCGACCCTTTCCTGGGCTCTACCTCAGTCTGTCTTCCTCTGCTCAATCCCAAGATTCTCTGCTCTTTGCTGTTCCCAAATTAGTGGTTGATGGTGGGCTCTGGAGCCTGAATACTGGGCACAAACCATGTCTTCACAGTGCACTCACCACGTGACCTTGGGCAAGTCACTCTCCCTCTCTGGGCTCATCTGTAAACAAAGAAGCAGACACCGAGAGCAGCTGCAGTTCTCCATCAGCGGTGTATGAGGGTTCCGGCCGGCAAGCGTGGAAAAGGCTTTCATGGCTCGCAGTCACAGAAGCGTTGCTCCCGTCAGTCCGCGCTTCACGCCACCGCACGCGTGGCTGCCCAGAGGGGAGAGGCCCCCTTCCAGTCAGGGTCCTGCTGGGGCCAGGGAGCTGCCGCACGGGGTTCCATCTCACCCCCCTCTGTGGTAGTGTGCTAGGGCTGCCCTGACAAAGACCGAACCCAGGGGTGTGTGTGTCCAAACTTTCCTTCTAGAAGAACACCAGACAGATTAGATTAGGGCGCTCTCTAATGGCTTCGTGTTACCTTGATTACCTTGCAAAGACCTTATCTCTAAAGAAGGTCACATTTTGAGATACTAGGGGTTAGAACACAAACATAGCTTTTTGGTGGGAGTATAGAGTTCAACCCGCAACGCCTCCCAATTTGCTTCCTGTTACCTTCCTGTTGGGTGGGTTGGATCTGACTGGAGATCTGGGGGACCCAGCTGTTCTGTTTTGCTCTTGCCCTCACTTAACGCCAGGCCCCTGACACGGCTGTAGAAAGACCGTAGGGGCCGCAGGACGGGCCGTGGGCCCTGCTCAGTGAGCCCCCGGGCAGACTAGGGTCCAGGCTGGACACTGGACTCCTGTCTGCAGGCCAGGCCCTGCCCAGACCCAAGAGCCTGCGTGTGTGTTTCTGGGCACAAGAGGATGGGGTCCCCTCAGATGGACCAGCCACAGCAAGAGGAGGGCCTGGGGAAGAAAAATCAGATGCCTGCCGGGATCCAGAGGTGGAAGGTGGGGAGGAGCTGGAGGCTGCCTGGGGTACCCTCATGTCAGTGTGGCCTGGGACTGCCCTGAGCCCAGAACAAGAAGGAGAACCTGGACAGTCCAGTCAGCCTGGAAGGGAGGCCAGTGTCCCTGAGTCCTAACGGCCCACCCTCTTCCTACAGGTGCAGGCCATGGCAGAGCCCCCCCGCCAGCCCCCAGAGTCTGCACAGGGCAGGTGAGCTCCGCATCCCCTCAGCCCCCTGCGGAGGTCTGGGGACAAGACTGGCACGTGCTGAGTAGGCACCAGCCAAGCCTACTCCCCAGCCTGTGGGGGAGGGCCCTGGGGAGTCCTCCCTGGACCTCTCAGGCGGGGAGGACAGGACTCCTAAGCACACGGATGAGGCAGTGGCCTGGTAGCCCTGGCTGTCGTGGCTCAGCTCTTCCTCTGTACAAAGTGCATCAGGGCTAAGCCTCTGCAGGCCGGGCCTGGTGCCCAGGGACCTCACTCAGGGAGACGGGGGAGGGTTTGGGGACCTGGCCTGCTCTCAGAGAGCCCCCAGGCTGGGCGGTGTAGCGTCTAGGGAGCACTGAGGGAGTATCACCATTCGTATTTTTGGATTCGGGGGACTCTGTAGTCACCTGTACAGAGTAGAGGAGTGGAATGAGGCCATCCTGCTCCCTCCCGCGAGGGCTGTTCTGTCAGCCTCTCCCAGCACCTGACGGCCATTATGCCCCTTATTTGGGTCAAGGCGGAGTTCCCAGGCAGGCCCCCATGAGAATAGGCCTCCGAGAGCAGGGTGGGGTGATGTCCTGCAGCACCAGATCAGGTTAGGAGCCAGTGACCCCCTCTCTCCACACCCTTCCCCAGACTTCCCTATAGGATGGGCTGGAGCTGGCCTGGATGTGTGCTGAGCTCCAGAAAATCTGGGACCCAGAGCTGGAGGGGCTCAGCGGCCAGCCCCAGAAGGTGCCCAGAACCCGGTGTTTGGCACCCCTCCACCTCTGTGCCTCTGCCGGGCCTGCACGCCCAGGGAGCCCACAGTCCCCTATGCCCAATCCCCCGTGCCCCTGACCTGCCCTTCCCAGACTCACTCAAACCCCTCCCCGCCACTCACTGCCCGCTGCCCTCCTCCCCAAGGTGGCAGAGAGCCCTCGCCAAGAAGCTGGGGTTAGAGCAGCAGCTGGTAGAAAAGTGAGGACCATGGAGTGAGGGCACCCGGATCTGAGGGGCTCTGCAGGGAGAAATCCCCTTCCCTCACAGAGGTGCTCACACTTCCTCCCTTCCCGTAAGGATCTGGGATAGACAGGTGAGGACATCTGGGGACATGCTAAGAGAGCCCTCTCATCCCTGGGGGGGGCGCTGGGGGGGGAGCGGAACAGTTCCAGGCCTGGGACTTGATGTATCATCTCCTGGTCTGCCTTCTCTCTGGGGAGGGGGGCACAGGGGAAGAAGCAGGAGAGGCATGGCTAGGTGGGCTCTGGAGGCACAGGGAGTTAGGACATCTGGGTTCCTGGGCCTGGGGTCACGAATGAAAGGAGAGTGGCCTTCAGAGCCAAGAAGTCCTGTGCTCGCGTCAGCTCCATCACTGACCAGCTCAGTGGGCAATGAGCAAGTCTGCCTTCTCGAGGCCTCAGTCTCCGCATCTGTTAAATGGGGATACCACCTTGCCTACCTCAGAGGTTGGCGTGAGGATTACATGAGACGGTGCCCCTGGCTCAGTGCCTGTTGCCTCGTTCCCCTGAGTCTCCCCCGGGGTCCAGTTAGGGGGAGTCAGAACTAAGGTCATAAAACCATGGATGTGTGCCCAAGACCACCTGCACAGAGGGCTTTAGTCACAATGTCTGTTTATCCAGTATTTCGTCCACAAGTCATTATTTACAGTTAATAAACTCAGGAAACCATGTGCTGTCACGTGCAGCTGCCAGTGATGGACAATGTAGCAAGTTCCAGTGCCCGGGACAGTCCTGTCTTACACTTGCATACCAGGGAGGGCCTCGTCTTTCTCACTCCGCATGAAGGGGCCTCGTGGGGTGGGGATTCCTATCTTTTGCCTCAGCTGCTCTCCGGGGACCCCTAGAGAATGGGGTCCTACCTGCAGGTGGGACCTGGGAGACGCCAAGAGTTCTGACCCTGAGGTTGAGAACTGGGTCCCTAGAGGGCGGGAGCTGGAGCTGTGAGCATCAGCACTCCAGCACAGGGAGGGCAGGGACCTCCAGCCACCTCTCAGCGCCTGAAGGTAAGAGCTGGGGACTCTCCAGAGGGGCAGGCGGAGTGAGCCCTGCCTTCCTAGGGGACCCAGGCCCAGTTACTCTATCCGCCTTCATCTCCCCATCTGCAAGGTTGGGGCGGGGAAGGCCCAAAGGGTCCTTCCAGTTGGGCCTTTGCTGGTTCTGGAAGGACTCCTCAGTTCGCCTCCCCTCCCTGGGAAGAGCTGGAGTTACTCCTCACTGGTACCCGGCCTGCCTCTCTGCCCTCTGTGGGGTCAGCTGCTGCTTCTTCTGTCCCCAGATGTCAGACAAAGCCCAAGAGCCATTGAAGAGAGGTCTGAGAAAAGCTGGCAACCGGGGCACTGCCCTGACTGGGGGAGAAAGGTGGTGTGGAGACTGAGGCTCACAGCCTCACTCTGCCACACAAGACACTGAGGTCAGCCCTTTGTCCCCAGTGAGGTGACAGTGGACTGATAGGCTTCAGGAACCAGGGTGGGCAAGGACTCCCTGGGGAGAGGGCAGGCCTGTAAGGCTATGCCTTTATCCCCTCATGCTGGGGTTTCTGTCAGGCCTGAGCAGTGGGACCTGTCACAGGTGGCTGTAGTCAGAGGTCTCCCTGTCCCCTGCCTGCCACAGGGCCTGAAATGCCCATGTTGACACAAGGCCCCTGACTGCCAGTGCATGAGGCCCCTTGCCCTTTCCCAGGAGGACCCTGTGGCTAGGAGCTGGGCAGGGAGTGGCTAGTGGGGTGCTGGTGTCCTTGTGGGGCTTTGTTGGTCCATTCACTGCTCTGGTGTCAGCAGAATGATAACCACAGACCTTCTGCTTTCTGGTGAAGGCCTTGGGCACTGGGCTTTAGACTTTTCAAAGTGAGTTCTGATTCACTTGTGACTCAGATCACTCTATAGTCCCCATTTTACAAAAGGGAAACTGCCCAAACAAGGGCAGTAAATTGCCCAAAGTCACTTAGCAGAACAGCAGCTAAGACCCCTGGTTCCCCTAATCTGTCCCAGAAAGGTGGTTTCTCGGTTCCAAGCTTGAAAGAATGGCCATCTTCAATGGCCACAAGCAAGGCCGGCCTAGAGTTAACCTCCCTTGAGGTCACCTGGTCATTTTCTCTTTCTCTCTCTCTTTCTTTCAAGATTTTATTTACTTATTTGACAGAGATCACAAACAGGCAGAGAGGCAGGCGGAGAGAGGGGGAAGCAGGCTCCCTGCGGAGCAGAGAGCCCAATATGGGGCTTGATCCCATAGAGGCTTAACCCACTGAGCCACCCAGGCGCCCCTCATATTCTTTTTCTGAACTTCCTTCCCCACCTTGCTGTGTGTTTCCTTGCCCTATGGAGCTCTGTAAGCTGGGCCATGTGCTTCCAGAATCCAAACCCTACTCAACTCTGTTGCTCTACACTCTCTCCATCTACTGACTTAACTGAAGCAGAGTTTTGCAGAGGGGGACTCTGGCAGGGTGGAAGGACAGAATACCTCTGAGATTGCTTCTCCAGTGTCCTCTTCTGCAAAATGTTCTCTGCCCTCCCTGCCATTCACACCACTGCTGTGGGGGCAGCCAAGTTCTCAGTGGATGTGTCCAGCTGAGCCAATGGCCCCTTCCTGATCACTAGACTTGAGACAAGATCTTAGTTCTCACCAGGGCTGAAGACTGGACACAGAAGTTGGGAAGTGTCAACCGCTCTTTTTCACAGTGGAAAAAGCTGAATTTCAGTGACAGCAAATGGAGCCGACAATTTCCAGGAAGTGGAATTGGGATGGAGATATTCTGGTTCAGCCCAGGAGGTCTCCTGTACAGAGCAGACATAAACCTGACCTTTGGCACGGTCATGTCATGTTGCCCTGGGGCCTGGGCAGCAAGGTGGGCTGGTCTTCAGGAGAGGAGTACCTTCCATGGGCAGCCCAGGTCCCGCTGTCCTTGGGCTCCTCCACACCCTGAAAATAAATCCCTCTCCTTTCTGTTTACATGGGCCCGAGTGGTTTGGGTCCCCTGCCAAGGACCCAGCGCGCTCCAGAGCGCGGCGCTCCTGGACATCCCTCCCTCCGGCCAGGAACCCACCCTGCACCGGCTCACCGCCGCAGAACGGCTCCTGTTTGCTTCCGGGCGCAAGCGCGACCCCGCCCCGGCCTTCCTGTCGGTCCCTGTGTCCCAGCAGCCGGCTTTGTACCTGTTTCCAAGCATAGCAGGGCCCCCACTCGTCCCGGTCCTGCTTCTCTGGTCTGCTCCTTCTTCCCTTCCCTCTGGTGGTGATTCCGAACCTTCCTCCAGAAGCCGCAAGCCACCGACTCCCCTTTCCTTCTGGGCAGGGACCCGCAGGCTAAGGTGCAGCGGGCGTCCGGGCTTCCCTCCCTGTCCCGCCCCCTCGCCCCCACTGGCTATGTGGAGGACACGTGACCAATTCTAGCCAATGAGATGGGGGAGTTTGCGGCGCGGAATCCGGCCGCTGCTCTTGGGGAACGTTGGGGCTGTTAGTGGCCGACAGGCGACTCCCGGCTGTGCAGAGCAAGGGGCACGTGGGCAGAACGGAGACTTGGGACACCTAGACCCCCCCCCGCCCCAACCTCTGCTTTCTTCTGTCCCCGGGCTGGCTTGCCCCTGCCCCTCACTGAAGAGAGGAACCTGCAGGAGGAGTTAGGGCAGCTGATCAGAGTCCATTCCCCGCCCAGCTATTCACCAGATGTGTGACTTTGGCCAAATTTCTGCTCTTCAGTTTCTTCATCTGTAAAATGAACCAACTCACTGCCTCATAAGGGTGTGGGTGGAGTGGAAATGAGACAATGCGGATAGAAAGCTTAGCCGTTCCTGGGAGGGCAGGCTCTGGGCGCTGTCACCACTGAATTATAACCCCTCTACAAGCTCTTCTCACTAGCTAAAGGACCTCATGCTAGTTACTCAACTTCTCCATACCTCAGTCTTCTGCTCTGTAAAATGGGAACAATAGTCCCATCTCATAAATGTGTAGAGGATCCAAGTAGATAATTCATGCAAACAGCTTTTTTATTTTTTATAGATTTTATTTATTTAAGACAGAGAACAGACAGAGAGAGACAGACAGAGACAGCACAAGCCAGGGGAAAGGGTGAAGAAGCAGACACCCCCCCCCCCCCCCCCGAGCAAGGAGCCTGATGTGGGGCTCAATGCCAGGACCCTGGGATCATGACCCAAGCAGAAGGCAGATGTGTAATCGACTGAGCCACCCAGGTGCCCCTCATTCAAAGAATTTAAACAGCACACACGTCTTCAGAAATTTGCTGTCAGGTCTCCTGGGGCACCCTTGGAGTTCCTTTGGGGTATGAAACTAGGAGCAGAATTGCTGGGCATGTCACTTTACTAGGTAATGCTAAAGTGTTTTCCAACGTGGTTAGACTAATCTACACTCCCTGGCAGTCTGTGAGAGTTTCCATTACTCCCCATCCTTGCCAAGACCTGGTATTGTAAAACTAAAGTTTGTGCCAATCTGATGGCATGGAATGGTTTTCTGTGGATTTCCTTGATCACAATGAAGTCCAGACATTTTTATTTCCTCTTCTAAAAAACACCTGTTCATGACTTTGCCCCCTCTCACCAGCCCTTCTTTTTGCCCACCCCCGCCCTTTAAATGATTTTATTTATTTGACAGAGAGAGCACAGCAGGGGGAGCAGCAGGCAGAGGGAGAAGTAGGCTCGCTTAGCAGGGAACCAGATTCCGGGCTCCATCCCAAGACCCTGGGATCATGACCTGAGCCAAAGGCAGATGCTTAAAGACGAAGCCATTAACTTTTAACAGTAAGCATTCACACACACACACACACACACACACACACACACACACACACACACAC